GGGGGTGGGGGGTCATGTTTTGCATGCCTTAGCGGAAAGATTTGACCACGCGTCCTCGACAGGACCGAGTACGTGGATTGAAATACAACAGCAACACGAAAACACCGTTGAAATATCTACCAACCACCACAAGACAATCCGCTGAGCAACCAAACAACGTTCGTCCCCTGCACACGTGAGCGATCAGTTTTCCGTAGTGAGTTCCACGCTAGCGCCAAGGTCAAGGTTGTCTTACTCGTTCGTCAAAGCTTCATGCCGCCAGCGTCTTTCGATGATGCATCCATGAAAACTACTGATACGAAGCACAAAAGAATGTGCGAAAGCAAGAGGAGGAAGTCGCACCGAAACGCGGAACACGTGTGGCTTGCTGTGGCGAAAAGAAAACAACGCGCGATACATAACAGTGACAACAACGACAGCAGCAGCAGCAGCAGCAGCAGCGTTTGCAGCACCAGCCACAACAACACAAGAAATAGCAGGAGCAGCAACCACACCGGCACAAATACCAACAGCAACAGCAGCATTAGCAGCAGCAGCAGCAGCAGCAGCAGCAGCAGTAACGACAACAGCAGCCGCAAAAAAGCGGCTACAGCAGCGGCAGCAGCAGCTGCAGCTGCAGCCACAAAACAGCAGCAACAGCAGCAGCAGCAGCAGCAGCAGCAACGACAACAACAGCCGCAAAAAAGCGGCAGCAGCAGCAGCAGCAGCAGCAGCCACAAACACACCTGAGGGTTCCCTCTGTTGGCGGTCTTTGAAGACTCCGCCTTGAAGCAAAAACCGACCAAATCTTCAACTTCCACGTACTGCCGAAAAAAAACAAAAAAAGATCAGAACCAGCACAGCAGTCGGGGAATTTTGGGCGCATTGAGAAATGTTTCGGGGTTGCCTGTGACGACGGCAACGGTAACACGTCTCTTCAGCTTCAACATGACCACGAGAGAAGAGGCCCTGGAAAGAAAAAATAACGGCTTCTACACAGCGCAAACACAGAAAACGGAGTGGTTTCTAGCGCGACTACAGATAGCGAACGGCATGAGAATGGTTTCTTCAAGCGCAACAACTGCTTCAACAGGGAACGACCACAGCAGCAACAGGTGAACCAACGTGCAGACCGCAGTCATGTTTTCTCCACGAACAACAACGTCAATCTCCACCTCAACAAACGCCTTCGCGTTTCAGATGGTCCCGTTCATACCCCCCGCCCCTACCCTTCACGGACCTTCACGGAGCCCCCACCATGCAGACTATATTTGTCCCCAAATATCAACACCGACCTTCACCTCAAGAACGCTTACAGATCGGTTCCGCTCACGACCCCTCTCCCTTTATACCATTATCGTCACCTGGAGGGGGGCCATAGTCTCTCGATATCGGTGCCACTCGTCTTCCCCCTCCCCCTCCTCCTCCCCCTCCCCCTCTCCCGACCCGTTTCCGGCGGGCGACGGAGCCCCGCTCCCCCGCCCCCCTCCCCTCCTTGCGGAACTCCCTTTGCTGCCTCGGCCTCTTGCCGGTGCCGCTGATCCGCCAATCCCAGCTGCTGCTCGACGAGCGCACGGCACGCACGGTTTTGGGTTCGGGGAGAAGGGTGGTGGGGCTTGCGTGCGATGAAGGCCGCGGGAGGGGGGTGTTTGGCATGAGCTAGCCTTTGGTTCGACAACAAAAGCAGCAGCAGCAGCAGGAGCAGCAGCAACAACAAGCACAACACTAGCAGCAATGGCAGCAGCAGCAGCAGCCAAAACAACACGAACAACGATAACAGGCAGCAGCGATTAAAAAAATAAAAACACCAACACCAACAAACAATATCAACCGCAACAACAACAAAAACAGCAACTGCAACAGCAACATCAACGGCAACAGCAACAACAACGCTCCCAGGCACGCAACAGACGGATGCTCTCTCCCGCACCCTCTGCAAAAGCAAGCACCCCAGATGAGCTTCTATCCACCCGCACTACCTGCTGCCGCCGTAGACGATCGTGTCGTCGCCCCCCCCTTGCCCTTCCCGTTCCCCCTGATTTCCATGGGTCTGGTGATGGAGGCGTTCTCGAGCTCTTCCACGAACGAAGCGTCCACCACGTCCTCTACGTCTTGGACAGCGGCCTTTCCACGGTAAATATGGGATATGGGATGGAACGGGGATTGGACCATCGCCGTTGCCGTTTCGTGCGCACAACAAGGGGCGGGTTGTTTTCTCAAGAGTCACTTTTTTTGTCGTACAAAGGGGGGGGAGGGGAAGGAATTGTGGAACCGTGGTGGACGGAAGATATCACCCCCCCCGGACCGGAATGTCCGTGGTACGAAGAGGAGAGGGGAGTGTACATGACTGAGCTGGGAAAATTACAAGGGACGTACAGGGAGATGTTTGAGGCATGGAATAGAGAGGAGAGGACGGTAGCTGTACTGGGGAGTAGGAAGTGGTTTGAAAAGGCGGGGAGGGACATCGTTAGGATAGACAGACTAGGGAAGACATTTTTGAGCCACCTTTGGCAAAGTAGGAAGGAACGATTGGCCATCGGTGATCGGTCCTGTGGGAACAATGCTCCGTCCTCTCGAGGACGCGTGGTCAACGGTCTAACCGCTAAGACATGCAAAACATAAGAGTACGCCCCCCCCCCCCCCCC